TTACTCTTTTTTTCTTTTTAATGGTAACTTTCCTCAAAGTCTCACAGAATTCTGTGAGCACTTAAAGACAGACTTTTATATACGTAGCAAGAAGGCTGGCAAAGAAAGGCCAGGATGATACACCGGAAAGCTAAACCCATCTATCAGTGGTTTAGAATAAAGAAACACCAACTTCCTTCGCTGTGTGAGGCAGTTTCTTTATATCCAAATCTCAGCACTCTTATTTAACATAAGTTTCTAAATCCTCTAAAAACTGCAGCCACCACTTGTTGCTATGAGGAGAAAACCCTACATCACTTCAACAATAGTATGTACCAGTAATGTTCAGTTGTTGCTGCCAGGGATTTTTTCCATATATCATGCAAATACATCACTTGTCATACAAGAATATGTTGCTAACAATCAGATGCCATAAGATTAATTTATTTGCAGTGCCAGGAATGCAGCCTTGAGGAAAAAATAATTTTAAATGGCTTTGTTGCTTTCATCTTGTTGTTATTTTAACGTGAATGTTTCATTACAGTAATATATCTATGACCAATGAGGGAGATAATTTCATTTACCTCTTCAGCTACTTAAATTCTATTTAAATAGCCATTATGAATAATTGTAGAACCAATGAATTTGTCTTCAAAACATTCTCAGAATTTAGGAAGCATCTTGTACACGTAAGAGGCAGATATTTAACAGGTCTCAAAATAAATATTTGACAAAGCCAACAGAGTAAACACACATCTCAGAACATTTACTCAGGAAGCCATAGTTGGCCCTTTTTGGGTCAGGTTAAGGGGTATATACGCATACTGGCTGAAGTTAAGGTGGACTTTTGTCAGTTTTTTTGTGAGAACAGAAGATGGAAGAGTAATGAATCTATCCATGATTGATTTAGCAAAGGTTAAGAAACTATATTTTTCTCCAAAAGTGCAAGCTTAGGTTGAGGATGGGAGGTTGTTTCTGAACTTCTGCATTTCAGTAGCTCCAATCTCCACAGACAAATCTTCAGATCTGAAATAAACACCATTCTCCAACCTCTACTTCTCCTGGCATCAGAAAACAGCCATCTGAATTTTTTAATACCTCCAGACTGTGGGCTCTAGACTACACCCATCCTACAGCATTTGCAGAATTCTAGCTGGAGGGACTAACAACTACTCAAATCTGCTTGGATTATCTTTAAGATAGAAGACTATTATGACTACTCAGATATATGATTGTTTTAAATTACCAGCTGCACATTAAGAAGCAGTAAGGATTAAATTTAAGACTTCAAGAACCTGTTTGTCCTTAATCTTATTTTTCATTTTTATACAACTTTTGTTACTTATATTTTGCTACATATATATTATTTTGTTTACTTACTTATAATTTTTATATTTATGCCCTGACCAAATATAAACTAAAAACCAAAGGTATTCCATTCTACACAGATACGGTTGAGAGAGAAACACTTTTTGACATCCTAAAAGACAAAGACATAAAAATTAAGTGAAATATTCTAAGAGATTTGCTAAATTTTGTGACAACAATGATTTGTTATATCCAATGTTATATCCATGTATTAAGATCTTAATTAGCTACTTCTAGTCTTCTTGACTCATTTATAGCCTACCTACATCTTTCAATACACCACTGTTAATTGTCCTACCAAAAAAATGGAACCAAAAGATCATATAAAGTAATTTTTTTATCCCCCATTATTTTTCTGGATGGATTTTGCTCAAGAGCCTAACAGTATTCTGGTGTTTCCAGATAGCTGCAAGGAAACACTTTTAAAAGAACACCTACAATTTTCCTTAATAATTAAGTTTTAAATTGACTAAGTTCACCAGTAGTGTTTTCAGATTCTGTTAGTTTTTAAACTATAGCTAAATTTCTACTTGTTAATCCAGGAACTTTTTATTCTGGGTGATTTTACTGGAAATCAGCAGAAAAACATTTACAAATACTGAGTTATCTGTTGGCTGAATTGATCAAGCTTCATATATTTAACCATACACTAGTCATACCTGCTTTGAAAATTACAGGATCATAAATACACTTTCTGTCATTCAAGAACTACTTAATGCACAACATTTTTAATGCCTTATCAAAAATATAGATTAAATAGTGCTCTTACAGTTCATGGGCTATACTGAAATAACCTTCTGCAGGAGATTTCCCATATGACTGTGACCTGTTCGATTTAATAATCTAAAAGGTATAGTAATACAGATTGCCGCAGTCTGTGCAGCTAAGCTTATTAATGTCCTTAAAGCATTCTGACAACTTTAATAGAAAGGCTGGAAGAGTGCCCAAGTAAGATATCCGGTAGGTAATTCAAAGCTTCCCAACAATTCCATACAAATTGAACTTTGCTAAAGCAAGAATTCTGTCCTCAGTGTTGAGGTGGCAAAACAAAATCTTACAGCACCAAAATGTATTCTAGAAGCAGTCAAGAGGGCTGGGAAAGGGACCATGGAGACTCCAGTGCCTGAAACGGGAGTCAGTAATGTTGCAAGGGCCTGTGTGCCACAACCTTCCTGTTTTTTCACTTTTCCAGCTTCCTAGAAGAGCTTTTACCTCCACAGTGCTGCAGGTGTATGGGATTTACACTGCCAGGAGCAGCCCCATCTCTGTTGGATGCAGCAGTAGTAGAGCTTTAGAAAGAAAACACCAGAGTGGCAAATGAGGCCATCCTTGCTGCTGGAATGGCCAATTTCTATCTCTTAACCTAGACAAAGCAGACAGAAAACTGTGCTAGGCAGCAACCTACTTTGCCTACGCTTATGCCTAAAGCCAAATTTGCATATTATGAAAATGGAAGGTGACACAATAAGACAAAACAGTTTGAGTCAGTAGAAATGTACACTGCAGCACTCAATTACAGCTGGGTGAATTAAGGACTGTGTTACAAATTTAATATACCACCACCACCACTTTGCAAGTCAAGCTAGATCTTTCAGTATTAAAAATTCCACTTAAAAACTACTTGAAGATCTTATCACCCAATAACCAAATTAATTCAGCTTGTAAGTTCTACCCTTAGAGAAGCATGAGCACAATTCATTTGTAGGAACCTTGTCTTCCTATTTTGGGGGAATAGAAAGGGACAAGTAGTTATCTTTATGCCTTCTTCCCCTCCTGTCTAAATCCCCTGCACAGCACTAACTCCAGTCACATCTGGGGAGCCCAATCAGGTGATTATTACCAGAGTCAAGTAGAGTCTGTTCTGTATTGCACAGTGCTGAGCTCAGATACTGATTCTAAATGGTGATTCTACTGGTTCTACAAATAGTATTATCAGCCAAAAGGCACTGTGTCTCATAAACTCTCTTTACTCATTTATACCACATGCACTTTCCCAGTTAAAAAGTTGTTTTGGTTTTTTTTAGCGTGCCAAGCCCTCATTTTGACTGAAATTGCTTACAAAGACTCCATCCTACAGCTAATTTTGAAAGCATCGGTATCTTCACTAATTTAAGAATTATCCAAACAATATCATTCCTAAACATAAACCATCCCTTTTGCATTCTAGAGCTGTAAACACTATCTAATTGAAGACATCTTCGTTTCACGAAGCACTTTTCATTGATAAAGAGCTCTTGATATACAGAAACAGTTGTACCTCCATTTACATACCTGCCTCTATTCAATTTCTCTTTCACAATTCTTATTTAGAAAAGGCTGTCCAAATGTCTATATCAGGCTACTAACTCAGCTTCTTTACATGTTCTTAATTCTTGGAACACAGCATAACAGTGTGGTCTGATAGTCATGATCTTGCTTCTGTAATAGAAGGTTAAGGGGTCTGATCCCTTGACTTGGATCCATATGATCCATATGATCCATATGCTATATTGATATTATAATAAATAAACAGATAATCTAATCTGAAAGAAAACTACATTGCTCAAAGTATTACTCTTTGAACATTATGCCTAAATTAATCTCTACCAGAGAAATGTAACAGAAAGAAGTCAGATTTCAAAGCACTGTAAGACTGTTGGAGAGAATCCCAACAGCTTGATATAAGACCAGTTCTACCGCTCCAAGCTATCTGAACACTGACTGAACAGACAGGCCAGACTTTTCAAAGGTACCATAATCTTAATGAACTTACTGGCCTGTTTTTAACAGAAGTCTGAATCCTTCTGAATATCCCCACGGGCTTCCAAAGTTGAGCATCCAAAAACCAAAGCACCCAAGATTAGAGACCATTTTGGAAAATGTTATCTGCACCCAGCGGCTGCCTATACAAACAATTCTCTTGTAAGCATTTAACTCGTTCTTTGCAGAGCACCAAGGAATATATAAATGTGATAAACTTCATCTGGAAAAACTCTGTTCTGTTTGCCATTTCTGTTGCATATAAATAGAGAGGTCACAGGTTTTGCATTTTACTGTACCACATGTATGGGGTCTGTGTGAGATGGGAGTTAATTTTCCCCACAGCAGCCCTCATAGTGCTTTGTTTTGTACTGGTAGCTAGAAAGGTGTTGATAACGCACCAGCATGATGGCTACTGCTGAGAAGTACTGGCACAGCGTCAAGGCTGTCTCTCCAACACACCTCCCTCAACGTGGGGGGTAGGGCAAGATCTTGGGAGGGGACATAGCCAGGACAGCTGACCCAAACTGACCAAAAATGAGCTGTCTGCTCAGCAATAGAAGCTAAGAGAAAGGGGGTGGGGAATTCTTTATTATAACATTTGTCTTTCAGAGCAACCACTACGTGTACTGAAGATCTAATTCCCAGAAAGTGGCTGGACATCACCTGCTGATGGAAAGTAGAGAATAAATATTTCATTTTCCTTTGCTTCTGCGTGTGGCCTTCAATATTTTTATTCAACTGCCTTTATCTTGATCCATGAGTTTTTTGACTTCCCCACCCCCATCCTGTTGAGGAGGGGAATGATAGAGCAGTTTGGCATCCAGACATGGTCAACACGCTACATGAAAGAAGGGTCTTACTCTAAATTATTTAAACCATGGAATGACAAGAGATAGAAACATCTGACTTACTGTAAGGTGTTGTATCAGTAGGGTCAGGAGGTGGAAAGTTTTCTGTGAAGTTGACATTACACAAGTCTGTACTACAGCAGCAGAAGCGGTATGTTCCATTTTGAATCAAGGAAGGGGTGGTTGTAACAATACACTCCTCAAAATGACACTCTTGTGGGTCTCCTATATGAGACCAGCAACCTGTAAAAAGAGGCAAATTAAAGAATTCTTTTTAAAGGAGGCATAAAACCAATTCTATTGCATGAACAATTAAACACACCTATTAAAATCCATACATAAGGTAAATGAATGTTAGAGTGGTGTGAATAAAGTTATCACAATTTGCTTGTCTGACTCCACTACCACCTTTTAAAGCAAAAACTGAAAAATTTCTTTCAGAATTTACCACAGACAAGCAGAAATATGGGCAGCAGTGAAGACCAATATCAGAGGTGTCCAGCTGTTAAACTCAATAAGAAAAAACCTGAATTCTTGAGCCTTCTATGCAGAAGTATGCCATTCCCCATTTCTCTGATACCACAGACAATATTAAGACCCTCTGGCCCACAGTCTAGATGAAAGTGTGACCTAGTCCCCTCCTAAGAGCTAGGCCATAAGACTGCATCTATAGTTTGGTGCTTTCTACAAAATTACTAAAAATTTTGTCCTTCCTCACTGTCAAGATCACTGGACTCTTTTAAAGGATCACAACTTATTTCTTGGCTAACGCAGACCCCTTCTCCCTGCAGCAACTGTTCCTTCCCAAGTATGGTTGACTGCAGCGAAACGACGTTTATGAACAAATGCCTGGGAGAGAAAGAGGCAGTGTGGGGGCAGAGGTGAGCAGTCAAGACTCCATCTTGATCTCCTAATCAGCAGATTACCAGATCAAACATCAAACAATAACATTGAGTACAACTGCACAGGATGTTTGTAAATACCCGTTTTCATTCAGCCCTATATGACATTTACTTGTATCCAAGTAACCAAGAGCAGAGTCCCTGAGAACGGTAATCAAAACACATCTCCAGCAACTGCAAGACCCTTCACGCCTCCCTACCATCACTCTCCCTGCAGAATAGCAGCAAATTGACAGTTAGTTATATGTGACATTTTCATGCTACAGCTGCGTTTTCATTTGTAAACATCCAATCAATATGAATACACATTTTTAATTAATCAAACACTTACTTTAAATTTATCATTACATCAGTAGATGTAGAAACATAAAATCATGGAATGGTTTAGGTTGTTGGAAGGGACCTTAAAGATCATCTAGTTCCACGAGTCCTGCCATGGGCAAGGACACTTTCCAGTATACCAGGTTGCTCAAAGCCCCATCCAAGCTGGCCTGTATACTGAGATATTCAATAAAGTCATCTTCCTCTGGACATCCTAAGTAACAAGCAATTTGAGTGCTTTTTCCTTCAGCTGTGCATTTATCTCTTTGGTCTCTTGTAAAAGGAATTTATTTCAAACAAACCTTCTGTTCACATTTAAAATTACTAAATGGGAACTTTAAAATTATACACTTGTACAACACAAATGAAAGGTCTAGCTTTGCAGCTGTGCATCTTTGTGCTGGCAGGCTAGATCACAAAAAAAGTGAAAAGAGTAGCAAAACTATCACACTTACACTGAAATGTTACGTACCTTGTTTTACAAGATGTATGTCTCCTTCTCGTGTTTTTTCCCAAAGTCCATAGCAGGTACTTCCTTTCATGCACAAAATTGTGCCATTCTCCTGAGAGATTCGGCTCTCACTGATTCCATGGTCCTGCTGATACGGGTCCTTAAAGGCACACAGCCGCTCCTCACTCTGGGCAGCTTTAGACAAAGAAAGAAAAATAATTTTTGTCAGTGATTTTACCTATAAAATATTAACTTTAATAAAAGGATGATTAACCTACATTCAAAACCATCCTGAATTATACTTATTCATTATTTAAACTGTACTCCAACAGTCAGAAATAAAAATGAGGTCTATCCCAAAGTTTCTTTCATAAAGAGGACAAAAAAATCTCAGCAGATATTTCAAAATGAATGTGCAAATGTCTGAAATTCACAGGTGCAGAATAAAAATTTCACTGCATTGTCTGCATCACCTGCATCATTTGTCCTCAAGCAGAAGTTATGCAACTGTTAGCTGGTTTCTTCAGTATCTGGATGCATTACTTTATTGTTTCCAGATCCTAAACCAAGATTATCTTTTCCAGACTGCCATCCAAGCCAGTGCCTACCTAATTCAGAGGGTGTTTTCCACTCTCTTTCTATTGATCTATCTCTTTTCTACATGCTGTCCAACCGCTGCATTGACATTTACTTCTTTTTGCTCGTGACCAATCAGTTTGGGCTCTTTCACACAACTTCGTTAATGACAGCCAACAGAAATACTAACGGTAGAGTAAAACCCATACGATTGACCAGCAGTTCTGGGAAACACTGCCTGTAAACAGGAGCAACACTGTGTGTGAAGTCTCTCTGTGGAATGGCCAGCAGGAACACTATAAAACATACATAGGGAGTGCAAAAATAAATACCCATGATCACCTGAAAAACTGATGGGATTTTTTGTTAAAACAAAACCAAAACCACCCACAAAAAGCATACTGATATTTACAAGAATAATTAATCAATGTACTTGAAATATTTAGCATCCTTAAGAACTCATATGTTTTACCCATATTACTGTTTATATCACCTCAATGAAAGGATTAAACCATGCTGATATGCTGATGTCACCTTTTCTTTAGGAAAAGTAAACACATTCACACAATAAATTAGTCAGAAGAGCTTCAAGTCCAAGATAAGTAAATCCTACATTTGTAGTGAATGATATTTAGAATATTTTCATTCATCACTTGAATGATTTTATAAAACGCATGGAAAGCTAGATGTGCAATCACAAGGCACTTCAGTATCATTCAGTATTACAGCTCAGCAAACATCCAATCACAGTAAGAACTTGTACTATGTATCTCAACGACTACATTTCATCCAGTTCTTTAACTCCTGTAAAAGCACTGGTAGCAGACAGATGGAAGGTGGAATAGATTGGTATTTTCAGAAAACAGATTTTGAACTTTAAGTAAAATTATAGCATATGTAATCGTAAATTTTTAAAGGTACTTTATATATATAAAATATCTACTCACTGAGCATTTGTTTATTTGATCATTCTTTAGCACTGGCCCCAAAGAAACCATGTTTCACCAAGGCAGACTTACTACAAAAATGCTGCTTCATTGTGTCACCAATACAGATGATTGGGTAATAGAAAGACAAACCAAGAGACTCAGATATGTGTCTCACTTCTAAGGCTGTTACCATTCATTGAAAGTCAAAATTCATAATTCTCTTATACTGAGACAACCAGAAATAGCCGCACCATCGAGAAAAGCAGTCTGTCAGTGACTCCCAGTTTATTCTGTGGCAGCAGTAGTTAAAATAGCACAACGTAGCTTATTTTTTAGTGGCCTGGTACAGAGTCTATGATAAGTTGAGCCGTGTGTCAGCTCAGTGGCAGTAAAAGTCTCAGCTGAGGAGACAGGAACTTCTTAAGCCACTGTAATTCAATCACTTGCAGCTCCATGCACTCCAATAAGCTGGCAGGCAGACCATGCTACTTGCCCACCTCTCTGTACACTGGTCTGTGTACAATTAACATTTTACATTTGGAAGCAGAGTTTTGATGTGATAAATACATTTATTATAAAGCTGTAGCTTGATACTCAGAAACTCAGTTACCTGAATTTCACATCTAATTTCTGTTCTTTCCAAATGAGTAGTTAGTCAAGTTACTGAGGGCAAAAAGGTCACACATTAACACTAGCATATGCTGCTGCAAGCAGTACTTGCCAGTTGCACGTAGTAGTTTTATTCTCAGGAACAGCTGAGTATGCCAGGCGTGAAGCATCTGTCCTGCATTCTCTGCTCCATGACATGGGACTGCCCAAGAAACAATGTATGAAAGGACAGTACTCCACTGCCATAAGAGAACTGGAGCTAACTTCTTGAAAATCAGAAGAGGAAAAAATGATCATGGAACTATAATTTTCAAGAGAGAATGGGACAGAATTATATGTGAAATACAACACATCTGCTCCTAGGGACACTAGGAAGGTTTTAAAATCAGTTGTGTGTGATAGCTGAGTGGGAGTAAGGTCATCTGAGATGTTGGTTGTTTACAGAATGCTCAAATGACTGCAAGATAAGCCCTTTGATAATTTGTCTTTATTGTGAAAAATAAATCAGAAAGAACAGAATTTATAAAACAGTCACACAGATTTGGTTTACTTATCAAAAAACCTCTGGTTAAAAAAAAAAAAAAAGTCATTCTAAGAAGGTCCACTTTCATAATACCTCAATAGTTTTGGGGTTTTTTTTTTTTAATTATCTTTTAACCTCTGAACTAACAGAAGAAAAATACCCTTTTGTTTTTGCCTTCTACTCCGAAATACAGTTCCATGTATCATATGTCTGTACTCCAGAGACATAAACAGCTTTAATTTCCTAGTTTTCTGGTCTCTTCACCTTCCTATAAATCTCTTAAGATGAAGGTTGAGAGGCAAGAACATGCAGAACATACTTGAAAAAAGTTGTTAATTTTTAACATGTTAACATCATGCTAGATGCTGTCCAACCATACACTACAGAAAATAACGGTTGCTACTAAAGGCTTTTTTGATTTAAAAACTGCATTGCCCTGTAAGAATACCTGCAGAGGGTAGGAAGGGGCAAGCATGAAAAGTACAACATCCACTGCTAGCAAACTATCAGTTTTCTAGCAAACTAATAAAAATGCAAGTTAACTTGCTACAATTTAATGTCAGATGATCTCAGTGGGAAACTTTTCCCACAAAAAGTAAAGGTTACTCACCCAACAACTAGAGTTTTCATGCTGATCACTGCACATTCCTGCTTCGATTTTAACTTAGAGTAGTACAACCCCTGTGGGAGCAGTACCCACTGCAATACTCTGCTGACCCCTGCCCCTTCCCTGATGGCAAGGAACATCTGGAGAATAGGGGACACATAACAAAAGCTACTTTATTTTTCTCTATGGCCTCTGTAGGTTCATTGTTGAAGCTGTAACACCGAAGAAAATTGGATAGGGCATTCAGATGTTCAGAAACCATCTTGAAGAACAACAGAATAGATGAGCTGCTTCAATTTCTTTGCATGATTTCAGCACATGTTGGCTCTGGGAATCTGGCAGAAAGGTTTCCTTCTTCCAGGCAGTGAAAACTAGTCAGCTCTAAAAACTTTCAGTACTGGAATACTTCTAAGTTAAGCCTTGAAAGCAAACTCCAGCCTAGATGAGTACATCTTAAACCTTCCCTGGAAGAAATGGAGATACTACTACAAAAACACACAGAAGTGCCCAGCTACCTCTTCTAAGCTTTACCTATTTCAACAGAAATCTTACCTTTCAAGATAAAATACCATTGTTCATTTGGATTTACATGTGTTCCTCATGGCTGACCTTTTATGTCAGTTTTCAGTCATCATGGGAGCCACCAGCTATGCATGGTGCATTCAGAGCTGAAACACACCTACCCGTCCCTTAGGAGCTCTGCACCTGCAATTACATTACAAGGGCAGCTACTAACTCTCTCCACAGCAGCTTAGCTAGAGACAATTCCAGAGCTGCTTCTCCCAAAACTCCATCCTTGGAGATATGCAAGTCATCTGGACATGGTCCTGGACAACCGGCTCTCGGTGACCCTTCTGCACAGAGGGCTGGACAAGATGACCTCCTGAGGTCCCCTCCAACCTCAACTGGTCTGTCATTTTCACAGGACAGAGGTCTCAAACTACTCAGTGCAGAGGGACCAGGCAGAAAAACAATATTCCTCAGCTGGGCTACCTGACATTTTTTGTCTTCAAAGCAGGCAAAATTCTAGGATAAGACTAGAAATATTGGATTCTCTTGTTTGTCTTCAAATAGATCCAAGGAAATACCTTAATGTTAGGATCTTTATTAAACGAGCAATTAAAACAACTTATCCTATGAAGACTGCGGCTCTTGAACTGATCCCATTTGATATATTCATTTGCTACCTATGTCAGAAAAAGGAAGGTCAAACCCCTGCAAGCAGATGCTCCTTTCGTTACAGATTTCACCAAGCAGTGAAATGTACCAGCAGTGTATCCTCAAATTGGCAAAATTCAGAAGCCATTTACAGATCAAGCTATACATTATAATTGCCCAGACATGAAAAGTCACAGCATACAAAGAAAACCTAGACCTAACACCAAAGTAAGTGGAAGCACAGGTTTCACAGGACATCTGCTGCATCATCTGAAGTAATCTTTCAGAGCCCTGTCCTTACTAAAAGGAATCATGTTGCTTCAATTCTTTTACAGGCCCTTTCAAGTCATCCATCTCATTAGTCCTGCACAAGTTAAGCATCAAACACAGTAAAATCATTAAAATTAATTTGGATTGCAGTTTCTCTATAAATGTGTAAGTCTATAATAACTCTTTCATCATTAGGTCTAAAGCACAACAAACAGAAAAAATTGCCAAAGATGCATGTATTCCCCCAAAGATTATAAATCTACTGAATCAAAAGGTTTTGGCGGGAGGGTGGGGGACAGCTCTGGAGAACTCACTGTACTTAATCAATTATCTGATTAAATCAGGAAATGGAAAAAAAAAATTTAGAAATACAGAAATTATGACTAGGAGAAAGTCACATTAAAGTCTACTTCCAGAACTGGAAAACATCTATTTATTATTTCTTTCACAATATATAAGATGTAAGAGAAGGACTTATGGTATTTTATTCTCTTTATAAGGTAAATTTCATAGTAAAATATAT